ATCCTCTGTCACCAGGAAAACATTCGAAGAATTAGAGACGCAGGGCTTGTAGCTCAGCTGATTCTTATTAGAACACCCTATTTCATCACGCACAATCAGCAATTGCCCCATTATATGTTGACATGTATAAGTAGAGGTCAAAGCATGTTTATGAACACTGACAGTCAGATGAGCTAACAAAAAGAAATTTAAACTTTTCTTCAGACATCAACGAGTGCGCAAGAGTTTTGTACAAATCACTAATGGTTCTTACAACTGCTCATGTTCTCTCAATTAGGTAAGTACAAACGGAAAAGACTCAACAGTCAGTTAACGTCTCCATCCAGTCTCATGATATGAGTAAGCGAAAGAGTCGAACAGTCTTCCAACTGTTGTGACAATGTTGTGGCAATGTTATATTTCTGTTGTTTTTATCAAAACGGACATCGTGTATTACCCTATACCGATTAGTGGCTATTATTATTATGGAGCATAATCCTTAAAATCTCAGGTAAAGTAATTTGCGCCATATATGCCTCACTGTTAGGGAACAGTTGTACCAGATGTGTAGTCGACTCAGAAACGATGTCTGGTACACTCTCGAAATGTGTACACATTGTGTTTGCTCTAAAAGTGTGAATATCTGAACCAACAACACACGACAATGCGTTGAAATGTTCTTTATTTCCAACTGTCCCTGTGACCCCAATCCCACAACGTTTGAGTCATAGAAAGAACAAAGGGTGTGTAATGAAGACACGAAAGGTTTGAGATCAGCATCAGAAAGAGCTAGATTATCACCAGACATGTTGTGCCTTGTGTTTAATGTTGGTGAAATATCTTGTATTTCCATTACATCAAGGTGGAGAATATTTCAAGAGTGATACATTTATTTACGCCAGTAAGCATTGAAACATCGACAGGCTATTTTGTTTTTATGCTGTTTTTTTCAGTTGCCATTGCGGCATAAAATTCTAACCAATGTCTAACCCATAATACTTGTCAATAAATGTCAAATATCTGGAATATGGCAGAGTGTCTCGTTATTTATAGTTGAAATAGTGCATAGTGCGGCGTACGACAAAAGACATAACATTAAATAACAGTTAAGTCGCAAACCGCTTCAATCAGCTTCTGTAAACTGTCTGTATCGGCATTTTTATCCACAGACAAAAGTCTCAGCCAAACTTGTAAACATGAAACGATCTCTCATGAGGCTTCAGTTGTAACAGCTACAGTTTTAAATGTCTGCTCGCAACAGGAAAGCTACAGTTTTTCTCTATCCATATTGAGGACGACTGCCTGTAAGTGACATATGTATCTACATACATATCCTATCTATCTATCTACATAAATATTCTCCAATGACTGTAGCGGGTCATGGTATGTTTCTTGTGAATATGAAAATGGTTTTGTCGCTTATATATTCATTTTAACACTTCAGTGAACGGCCGTTAAATCGCTCTTTCATTAATTTTGTTGACTTTCCTTAAGCACAGTAACACTTTTGCCCTCTGCTATTCCTTTAATGCACTATTTATGGTCCGAGTGGGAATGCGTCTACAACGTGATAAACGCCCCAGGGCTTGAAAGATTCAAACTGGAAAAATTCGGCGAAAGGGAACCGAGATGTGATATATACTTTTTCCAGACACAAATTATGCAGCTTAGCCAAATACACGGCGACCAAGTGTTGTACCAGTGAGTGAGTTGGGTTTAATGCCACTTTTAACAGTATTACAGTTATATCGCGGCATGTCAGCCCGAGGTGATGCAGGTCTTAGAGGTTTACCACGAGCACGGGTATGGTGCTGACAAACCTAGAAACATAATCGGGGCGAACCGGGATTCGAACCCACAATCATAGGTTTCTGGCGTGCCTAAGGGACGCAACTCTGCACAGCGAATCGCGGCGCCTTAGACGACTGGGCCACCCGTGCCCCATTGTGTTGTACCGCCGTTAACAGACAGACGTCAATAGTGTTTAGCGCGTAGACACTAAGGGTATCCGCAATGTTTTCAGATGAGTCCAGAATCACTCAGACTTTCTGGGTAGACGTGGAATCAGCATGGTTATGGAAAGGTATTGTTATAACATGGTATGGGATCACTATGACTACCAGAACGCCACCGCATATTGTCCGCTGAAGGGTCAGTGGAAACTACTGCATTCTGACCTACTGGTGTCCCGAGCCGTGGCGTTTGAGCCCCAGGCTGGCCCACGTTTTGCCTTCAAATAAGGGTACGCTTGTGGCCACCGTGTTCGTATCGTAACTCACTACATACCTTCAGAAATATACAAAAAAAGTGCTGACCTTTCCCCCATAGAGCACGTGTGGGATGATCAGGAGACGTGTGCGTTTATGTCAAAGGCACCCACTATGTAAATTTCAAGTTCACAGTTGTCCCCCAAACTTGAAGAACATACTTTTTGTAGATTTTCTGTCGTATTTTCTGCGCAGAATGTATTGCCATACATCCTTTGACTATTGGAGTCACCACAACTTTGCATTTGGTAAGCTATAATTAGACACATACTAATAGTAATTATTTGCAATGAATACCGACAATAATTTTAAAAAGGAGTACTATTCTATATAACATATATTTTAAGTTTGTTTGCTTAATGATAGAATTAATCTGAAAGTTACCTATTCGCCCACGAAGTTCCAACTTAAAACACTTTGCCGCTAACCTGACTAAACATAACGTATATATGTATATGCCTTCTGTGATTTGAATTTTCTGTGAATCTGAAATTTATAATCAGCAAATCACCACGCAAGTTCACAAAAAATCAATGACTTATATCTAACCACATAACTTTATAATCAAGAAGAGTCACGAGAAGATGACAAATCATCCCGGACCCCACAATAACAAAAGGCACCACTTCAGCCCCTGGTTAATTCATGTACCAAGTTTGGATGAAAAATATTTCACGGTTCACGTTTTACTCCGAAAACGAAATACGGATGGACAGACAGACCAGATGATGACAATATCTCCCTGCATTATCTGGGCCAAATAAGTGACAACAGCAGGAATTAGAAGGCCCGAGAAGCACTCACCAGAATAATATTTTTCAGAATTCAGTGCTTCCGGAGGGAGGTTAGGGCGGGGACGGAACAGGCAATGTTGGGAGGTAGTACTTTGTAGTACAAACTGTACTTTGGCAATGCATTAAATCGTCCTCTTGTCGCTGTTATACAGGTCCTAGCAGTCTTCGGGGTTCCATTCCTATATCTGTAGAGAAGTAACAAATAATAGCAAAGATGATGTGAAGTTAACAAATGCTTGATAATCACTGGAGACTCGATTATTTACACGCCATCTTAGAGCTGTAATATTGCTTAGTACTGAGTATGTAAGTATGTTAAGTAGGTAACATTAATGCCCCCTGACAGTGACACGTATATCAATCTTAATTGGAGTGTAAAACATCAACTGATGCTGTAATTGATGCTGCAATTCGTTGATTGTAGTTTGTTTTTTAAACATTGATTTTTATTGCATACAGCCATTGGGGACCGGAGTGATGGCATATTTCCAACTGGGAATCAAGCAGGAAGTGAACACTGCTGAAACACTTTGGTTGCTTGTATTTTATAGCCTGGTTAAAATTAATACTAAATAATCTTTTGAAACTATCTGTATTCATTTTGCTCTGGTTTGTTCCATACTTAACCTGTGATACTGACCTTACTTCTTACTCTCCTTTGTTAACAGGTATTTAATGATAATTACCTTCTTCTTTTTGCGATATGGCTGCAATATTGACGATGCTATGTAAAATCTTCATTCACTCACTCACACATTCATAAAACTATGGCTCCCTATATAAAAGTAAAGGCGCTTCAGCGAGAAGGTGCCGATCCTGGCACTGAACCATAATCATATCCCTCTTACCAGACCAGTTATCGGCAACTCCAGATAGAGTTGTAATGAATTCTGCATGCGTGAGGTCAACCGTTACCAGATAAAATCAAACAAGTGAAGATCCGGGGGAGATTAGGTCTTCCTGCTTGCCTTAAGAGGCGACTTGACGTAAGTGGTGACTAACGGGATCGGATGGTCAGGCTCGCTGACTTGGTTGATGCATGTCATCGTATCCCAATTGCGTAGATCGATGCTCATGATATCAATCACTGGATTCTCTGGTCATGTCTCGATTATTTACAGACCACCGTCATATATCTGGAATATTGCTGAGTGCGGCGTTAAACAACAACCAACCAACCAATCAGATAAAATCAAAATTGGTTCACACACATATTTCATATGGACAATTTTAGGGCATTCAGGTTTTTAATTATTTTTTTTCATGATAGTGAAAATGCTCTTTATTGTGAAAACTATATATGCAGAGAAACATAATGCCACGGGACCTGGATATGTTGTCGACAGTTATAAACAAACACACTTAGCAAAAACTGCTGTCAGCAATGATATCCACATATTTTCTGCATATTTTCTGCATAAACACGGACAACACTCAATATCCTTCTAATCTTTTCAACATAATGTGAAGTCATTATGAAAAGGAAGGTGCATATCTAGATCTATGTTGAGCTGTCTCAGTGACAATTTTAACATTTTAAATGAGCATTTTGAGTACATTTAAGGTCTAAACAAGCTAAAGTGATTAAATATTGCGAGTAATTGAATGTACGTGTTGAGTCCTATGACTATATGACATCATATTGTGTATCGGCGACACATTTTATGTAATATTGTGTTCTGTATATGAAATATTGCCTACATGACTTAATCTTTTAGGCTGAAACAAGAACCACAATATAATGCATTAACCATATCGGGAATGACTCCTTGAGAACAATCGTCTAAGTTCGAGAAAACTATACAGTTGGTCCTCGATATTCCATGAACATATTTATGCAATGAAAGTGGTTACACACAATACAAATAAAAGAAAACTAAAAACAGCACTATCATGCACCTGTTTTATTCATGAAACATAATGTTTCCAATATCAGGGTTTTGCAAAAGATCTTCAGTGTTTATTCCTTTAATGCAACATTTACTCCACACTTCATATAGATGGTTCTCTCCTTGATTTCATCAAGTGCCAAAGAGTTGCTCAAAGAGAAAACATGTTCTTCATCGGGAGGTGACGCTACCGCGCTAATATCCTCCAGGTCGAGGTCTGATGACGTTGGAACAACAAAAACCATTGCCTCTGTAAGGAGACGGCCTATGCTCCTTGATATGGTTGACTTTTTGCTACTTTTACCATCTGTAAATAAGATAACAATGTTATCTGCGTCTGGACGGTCGCCATTTTCCGCTACAAACACATCAGATAAAGCCATGTTGATAGCATCACCGAGGAAGGTGGAACCACCTTTTTGTTTTTGAGCATTTACATCTCGAATAGCGGCTTCTTTGTTGTCCGGGTGCGAATTCAGCAAAAAGTTCACTTCAGCCTTTCCTGAATACACCAAGAAAGCCACATTGATTATATTGTTTTGTATGCGGGCATAAGAGAGCAGTTCGACTTCAAAATCCTTTATCTGCCTGTATGCGTCTTTGGAGATAGACGAAGATACGTCCTCGATAAGAAGAATATCCAGTTTCTTCTGTGGACATTCTGAAAACATAGGGTTTTAGAAGTGTTAACTCTCAGCATTTTCTCTGGTACATGTACTCATTTTGTGATATTCGTGGACCAATACCACATGATAGTTAAGGTGAACATGATTCATTTTGATTGGTGAATATATGACTAAATTCTATTACGATCATTGAGAAATGAGCAGGAAATTGCTGCTGCAACATCTTTTCCCTTAAGGTACGTGGTGGAAAAGAAAAGAAAGATCTTACTTCGTTCACAATTAGCTCCTTCATATCCAAGCAAACATCTACAAGTGCGTCCATTCGGGTTATTTTTACAGATCCCTCCATTCATACAAGGTTGATTGAAGCACTTGTCTGCGGCTGAAAGATGACAGGAAAAACCTCTTATTGCAAATAATCTGGAGAAGGTAAAATTGTGTGCCTTTTGCAGCCAATAATAACCCAAACTCAGATATCATTTCTATAAAGTTGCTCACCTCCAAGCATATGTTCTTTCACTTCATAATACCTCCATCCTCCCCGATTATCCAGTTAATTAATTGTACATCTCCAAATAATTGCCTTCGATTACCCCTGTGAAGATCCCAGTAAGAATTGTTTTCAGCAATAAATGCTATGCTATGGTCGCTGCCTTGGTTTATGCATGTCATCGTATCATAATTGCATAGAATAGGTCTTCAGCAACCCATTCTTGCCGCAAAAGGCGTCTATGCCTGTTGTAAGAGACGGCTAACGGGATAGGGTGGTCAGGCTCGCTAACTTTGATGATGCATGTCATCGTCACCCAATTGCTTGGATCGATGCTCATGATATCAATCACTGGATTGTCTTTTGCAGGCTCGATAATTTACAGACTGCCATCAAATAGCTGCATTTTGCTGAGTGCGGCATTAAACAACAAACTAACAAAGCATTTCCTTCAAATTAATGAGAGCTCCATCTCGCCATTAACACGGATTTGTATGCATATCTTTGCTGAAAATGCGCGCAGACGAGGCATATTCATTAGAGTGAGTGAGTTGGTTTTATGCCGCTTTTAGCAATATTCCAGCAACATCACGGCATGGGACACCAGAAATGGACTTCACATATTATACGCATTAGATGTAGACTCCATATGCTCGAGCAGAGAATTTCTGTGCTGTGTAGGTGAGGTGACTTCCGAATTTGGAGTTGGAGTGGGGCATTACTATCTATCAATATTAAAAGGTACTTGCCTTCTCTACAATGGCCACCTGAGAATCCTTCAGCACATTTGCATGAGAAAGTCAACGGTGTTATGGCAATACAAGTTCCTCCATTAGCACACGGGTTCGATGAGCATGGATCAGCTGGTGCTGGCGTTGTTGGTGGTGTTGTTGGTTTTGGTGGTGCTCGTGTTCGTGCTGAAAAATAATGAAGATATACATCAACATGGAATGATTTCGGCATGCAGCGACATCCCAGATCACGTGATATCATCGTCAAACTCATTGTGAATCTCAAACCAAGTGTAGTCCCACTGTAGAGTAGATGACTCTTTATGATAATTTTATATAAAATTTATCTCCATTCTACCGTGACAATAACAGCGCTTTGAAAATGGTGCTAAATCTTAGAACATTTCGAAAAGTGGTCACAGGTAGTTATATATGTAACAGTTATTACTAAAGTTCAACATTAAAAACACCAAAGTCGTGAGTAGTTCAAAATAAGTGTTCAAAACACAGGTTCTCAAAAGTTGTTGAGAAATAACACTCCAAACTTAGTCCAAAGACAGATGTTTTCATTTCTACCAACCTGTTGTACATTGTTTGGACTGACTGTCATTGTTGGAATTTTCCGAGAGAGGTCATTTCTTGGAAATCGAACATGCCATCATTTCTATTATAGGGGTGACAGGTCTAAAAAGGTCTTAAAATGCTAACGAATATATTTCTACAACAAATTTTATGAATTAACATTCTATTATATATCTAACATGTGTAAGTGTTATTAGGTAGTTAGCAATCACCCCCCAGTAAACAATAATAAAATCAAAATAAATGCCTCTTCACCCCGAACTTGGATGTGACAGAAATTGTCCTACATCAGGTAACTCACACCTCACAGCTGTCAATGGCTGACAATCTTGTGTGTACATTCTCCGTAATTAGCTCAATGAAACAAGATTACAACCCCGATATATGATGTTCAACATTAACCTGTAGATTTACTGGGATTGGTCGAGGCTGCTGGCACAATATGATTAGCAATGTAACTGAGTATGACTGAACAGCAGCATTTTAGGCTGCCGGAGCTGGATATTTTGAATCCAGGAATCTGCATGGGTCGTGTATGACTTTCCTGATTGTGTTCTGAAATAAATTTCATCAAGTTTGATAAGCTGTCACTTCAGTTGGGACATTGTTTTCGTGGGCTTTTGAAGGGGAGTGTTTGCTGATGGACTTTCAAATCCCCTCCTGCCAAATTTTATGGTGGTGGTTGATGGAGATGGCAATGAATATCGATCACAAAAAGGTTTGTCAGCAACATGTTGTCATGTAAAAAGTTTTTTCAAACACTTTTTATAATGTTATATTTTACTTTCAATGTCGGTTGCTTCAATGAGGAAATAGTTTAAATTGTTCCAATTATGGTCACCATCGAACTTTTCTCTAACAGTTTCATAAACATTTCATTTGTATCCAAAAGATATGCCTTTTCATCATCGAAGCAGTCAGGGTTGAGGCCTAGAACGCCCAAACCATCCGACTCGGCATGTATAAGAGACCTGGCTGGTATTAGAGACGCAGCATGTATTAGAGGAAATAAAGATACGTTTTACAGTTCAAATGAGGGTGATCGACTGGCAGCCATTTTTTTATGAATCGATATGTAGGTTAACAATAAAGGTACTAAAGTGGAAGTTGTGCTGCCAATAATTACCCTATTGCTACGTCGCAGTAAATATCCTAGTAGTCAATAGTTGTGTGGATGTAACATATAACCCGTTTGTTTAACAGACCAACAAGATGAAACTATGGTTGTGCATGATACTGTTATAGTTCCAAACATTGGCACTGTTGACATGTCTATTAATATTGTGTTCCTGCTCTTGCTAAACAAGGAACGTTCAATATTATACTCAAGAAAGGTCAGGACCATCTTCAACTAATGGATATTGAGAAGCACAGTTGTTAGTACAAGTGAATGAGTGAGTTCGGTTTAATACTGCTTTGAACTGTATTCCAGTTATATCACGGCGTGTCGGCTTGATGTTGAAGGAAAGCCCGTTGTTATGCAGGTTTTAGACGTTTAGCACTTTGGTGAAACTCATGAGCACGGTTGACATACCAAGAAACATAACAAGAGTGAAATCGGTTTCAAACCCATGATCTTAGGCTTTTGCCGATGAATTTACATCCATTGTGAAAAAATGGAAAACAGTCGAGTCATCAAAGGAGTTCATAACTGAACGACTCTGTACTGAAGAACTAAAGAACTGAAGAACTGATAATAACAGCTCGAGCCTGCATGGATATTGTGACAGTGACAGCGTCAAAGAAAGGACAAGGTCACCATCAGAATGAGAAACGACCGTGATCAATACATAGGATTTTACATGAGACATCAATGTTATTGTTCACAGTTTGAACGTTTTGGGACACAAAATCAGAAGTCAGGAGCACTTCCACAAAGTTGTCAAACATGTTGTATTTGAAATGCTCAGTTTGACTTATCTGATCGAGCAGTAGTGTACCTTCAATCATAAAGAAACACTTTGGGAAAAGGCCGAACGGGACATTGATGGAAGAGCTGCATCATCACACGTGAGCATAGGTATGTCTCAAAACTATTATGAACTGAGATAATTGGGTCAGCCTGAACTTTTAGCATTATGTCAAATTGAAAGTCGAAAGTGGTCTGGTGCTGCACATTGAAAGGCACTGGCCAAGAGAACCCGATCTATCTGTCGTCTCTATGTACACAACAAATAGATTTAGCTCAGTTGTGTAATGCCTTTAATAACTAATGTAGAATGCAAAGCGAATTTGATGCGTATAACTTGCTTGTTATTTTTAATGGAAAAAAAAGCATAACCTTTCCTATATATATGTGACCTTAGCACGGTCACTGTTATAGGTCAAAATGAATGAAACTAATTAAACCTTGTATCATACAAATGTGACGAACGGATTTAGTATCTGATCATTTCTCTCCCCATGCCCCACTAACTTTATGAATATATTTCTTTGAGCTTGTGTGTGAATGATAAACAAGATATTTGCCATTTAATAAACTAAATATTCAGTGTTACTAATCCAGTTGTTTCACAGATCCCGAGGAGATGATGTATTCAATGCAAGTAATATTATTGTATTTTGAGATGAAGCATGAGCTTGCTAAATATGTCAAGACAATATTGAATAATTGGAGTCCAATAAACATATACCAAAGTATTGTGAAATTCGGGTTTCTAATCTCTTTAACAAACTGGGGTTGTTATGTGACAGTAGAAACTGTATATGTGTAGTGATTGTCAGTGGCAGCAAATCGAAGAAGCGCTGATAAAATGACGAGTACTACTTGTGGCAGCGAGTGAGTGAAATTTAGAGTTACCACCCCTGGTAGTTTAAAAACATGGCAGGCTTAATTGTTCGCGAAATTCGGGATGGGACTGTTCCTAGAAGACTGGTTGTACCTGTATAAGCGTGACACGAAGACGAATACGATATGGCTGTGTAGATGGGATACCTGACTGAAACCACCGACTTCTTGCTGGCAACACTATTCCGGATTTAAGTACAGAGACTGTTTCAAGTCAATCGACAGTGACAATTCTAAAACTTCATAAGTACACTTACATAAATATTACTTATTGCTGTTGCCCCTATTTTGACCCATTGTATTGCTTTGTTTGACAGTAAACCTAAATCAAAACTGTGCATTTCAATATTAATTATTTTCCGTTAATCGTGTGTTACCATTGACTGTATTACACAATTAAATTCTGGTTGACCTTTGTGTTTCCATTTGGAAATCACCTCATCAACCAAACCGTGTGCAAAAAAACCATGTCAAAACCTTGAACAAATTTGAATTGTATCAATAGTGGGGACAGGCTTGTAAAATTCAATTTCATTGCTTCAGTTGTTTCCGAGATGATGATGTTTTCGGTGCAAATAATTGCATTTTGAGATAATTTAAGAGCATGATCAGAATGTAAAAATAATATCGGATGTTTGGCGGCCATTACTAACTAAGAGTATACCAACGTTGCAACAATGTTGATTTTCAGATTCCAAGCTCTTCGGTACATTTGGGTTGTAATGTGGCAAAAGAGACTGCAGAAAGTTTAATTGTAGTGATTGTCAGTGGCAGCAAGTGATTAAAGTGCTGGTAAAATGCAGACTACTGTCGTTTGCAGTGAATCAGAAATCACCTCGTCACATGATGTCCACATTGAAATGTTTACAACTGATGACAGACAAACCAGCCATGACATGAGCTCAAATAAAATAACTGAAATACTACTCCAAGCGTTGTTACGTTGCACTTACTCACTCCCACTCAGTAGTAGCAAATGTATTGTTCACAACTTGCTAGAAACAAACTTCATATACTAAGTCTCATGACGAATTATCTCATTTTTTTCCGCTGTAAATTTAGGTTCTTGGTTTTTATGTCCCCCGTCTACTTTATTTTACTGGTGATAAGGGAGGATAACTTTCTAGTATATTGTCCTGCACTTACGTTTTATACAACTAATCGAAAAACCTCTTTTCACACAACGATCTCCTTTTCGGCAATTGCATCGCCAGTCGCCATCTGAAATGACATCAAGATTATGAAGAAGTCACACCCTCCCCCAATACAGGAATCATGTATAGTATGTAAATTGGTGGTCGAAACATATCGCAATTGTTAAAGTCGCCAACGAGTAGCTAATTTCAAGTTACAGATTACAAGTGTGCAAAGTAACCAAAACCTATACACGTGCGATCTGCTGAACATGAACACAGGTATAAAAGTGCCGGGTTTTTGTTGTCTTATGTGTGTGATTGCACAGCAAACTCATGCTGCGACTAAATGAAGCAGAACGAAACATGCCATCGGTCGCTTGGAAACGGGTGAAACCAAGTTGGCCGTAGGAAGGAAGTTTCATTTATCTCCTTGCTCAACTACAGAATCGTTCCCAACACAAAGGGACAACATGTTACTTCCCCAGATCTGGAAGAGCACCATAGCCCAGGATCGGTGGGATGGTATTCAAAGTGTATATGTGCTGTCCGCATACTAGCTATTTGACGGCTGCCTGCAAATAATCGGGTCTATGCGAGACAATCCAGTGACGCTTTGATCAAAGATTCACGCCGTTTGAGAATGGTAATACGCAATCAACCAAGACCTAGTCTCTCCGCGCCTAATCACCCAATCCATCAAGTCACCTCCCGAGACCAGCATAGGTTGCTGGATTCCAATTCTGGCCGTGTAACCAAACTGGGACATCATCAGTGACCCTGTTGGGATTTCTGAATACAATCCGTTCCAAGCAACATATGCCTGTAGGAAGCGACACAACTGATTGGGTGGTCCGGCCTCCATCCATTTGTGGGAGCCTTTAATATAGCGAGAATATTGCTGAGTACCGTGTTAAACAACAAACATAACATTACAGTAAAGTACGGTTATAACGAACTCAAAGGGACTACTAATTTTAGTTCCTTATAACCGTAGTTCGTTATAAGCATATATACAATATAACAACAGCAAATAGTCGGGACCAAAAAAGTAAGTTCGTTATATCCGTCAGTTCGTTATAAGCGTGTTCGTTATAACCGTAGTTTACTGTATATGAATCACTGGTTTGTCTGGTCCGTAGTCGATTTTTGAAGTCGTGATATAGCTTGACTGGCATTATACAACAAACAAACAAAATACATCATGCTATAGCTAGGTGCTAGGGCTGCAACGATACACCTAGGTCACGATACGATACGTACCTCGATACTCACATCACGATTCGATACGTATCTCGATACGCTACGATACACATAGTCACAAGAGAAGACAAGAGATGAATGAATTAAACTTAGTTTATTAAAATGAAAAATTAAATGAAAGTGACCGAATGTTCATGAGTCATAAAATATATACTGTAATGAGTATTTTAACTTAATGAATCATCTGCCATTTCCATGTAATGGCTAGCAAACACAAAAGTTACAGTCCTACATATTTGTGAGTTGTGACTAGATGGTAGGAGTAAATACTAAATGTACCAGTGTCCAGTAACTAATGATTTGCCATTTTCATGTATAAAGGCAAAAAAACAATTAAAAACAATTAGATCTATAGCAACAGCCATGTTATACACCATTTGAAAGGTCTTATCCTAGTGTTTATAAATATGCAAGTTATGTTTATCACATTATTTAAATAATGCATTGACAACTTAATTAAGTTCGTTGTAAAATATAAAAAAATGTAAGTTAACACATTCATAACGTCCAGATTAAGGACCAAGGAAGCGACAATTTGACGATTTTGGGCAAATGTAAGTTTCAAAAGATCTAAAGAATTTCATTGTTTACGTAATTGGAAAATTATTTTAAAAAGAATTATGAATAGTATCTGTTTTCACTCATTTCCAAATAACAGCGGCAGTCCGCTTAGTAACATGAAGAACGTTTTAAGCAGGAAATCGCGATCTATATTAAACATATGGAGCTTCGTGGATGTATCATGCTCGGTTACAAGCTGTGACAGAGTTTTCATGCATATATTTTGGCATTGAACATCGTGTCCGAGCCGGGTATTCGAGGCGACGAAAGCCGAGATGTCATTTGACTAACATTACACGCGATCGCACGAAAAGATGGAAATAATAACTTAGCTGTAAGTTTGACCACTTTTAGATATATTTTTGTTGATTTTATATACCACTTTGTATAATTATTTATTTAAAGATTTGCTTGAAACGTCTTTGTTATGCTCTTTGACATGTTCGATGTGCACCCGTTGTCGAAGTGTGTGTCCGAGAATTATAATTTCAATAACATAAGCGGGAAATAGTGAATAACTTTTTAAGCTATCGATAAAAAATGATAAATGGAAATAAAATACGTATTTCAGACATTGTGAGATGTGATAGATTTAATAAATGAATGGTATGACAGGTAGGTCCATAAATATATATACTATTTTGGCGTGACTAGGCTTGGCCGGTTAACGTAAATACATACGTCTTTGGAAAAACGTATCGTGAAAAATCGAGATACAGCACCTCACTAATCGCACACCGTATCGTATGGAGTGAATCGCGATGCATCGGTGTCCCGGGATATCGTTTCAGCCCTACTAGGTGCACAGAAATTAACATCTTACCAGCGCTGTACAAGGATAGTACAAGGACGAGGAGGAAAAGAATCCTGCCAGTCATTTCCTGGGAAGTACATTTTATCTCAATATAGTCCTTTTCACAATACAAATGAAACAGTAGATTTACTTCAATCTAAATAACCTGTTACAAAGCACATCTTTACCATGGAATTTCAGAATCTTTATTATTCGTTCCTCCAGTCATATCGAATTCATTGTTGACACTGATTTTGCTGACAGCAAGGGAAATTGTTTCGTGTATGATTAAATCTGACCGCTTGGTAGTTTCAATATGTAATGTCACCTGTGACAATCAGACTTCGCGACTGACGTTCGATTTCAAATTCAATTTAGCTTGGATACTTCTACAGGTAATCTAGCTCTTCAATGAAAAACACAGTATCTTTTTTTTCCTAAGCAAGCAACTATTCTACAAGGTCGCCTTCACTCTGATATCATACGATATCATACCATCTTTGAAACGTTTGCTGCATCTTACCTTTTCTCTTCTGATAAATCTTCTCACGTGTTAACGCTGGTATCTTCTGATGACAGCGTTTCAGATTGGTCCTATATATGTAGTCTTTCCTTTAGAGCAACACGTGCATGCTATTGAATTGTTTTCTACTTAAAACGTTTACAAAGCAACTATAAACCATCACGTTTTGAAAGTAATGGTGATGAATATGTGTAGTCATATGCATAAACAGTCTTTGTTGCTTGCGAGGATCAATTGTTTTATGTAACGCCGCACTTATATTACTGCTGTATGACGGCGGCCTGTTACGTGATCGACAAACAGCGATCGATATTATGTGCAAGGATCCGCGTTGTCGGGCTATGACGAAACACATTCAACTAAGTTAAGAGTGTGTTTAACAAGAGGCCCATAGAGCCTGTATGGCTCAGCTGGATATTTACGCAGTCATGACAAAATATACATTTGCAAATACTGCAAATATTTCATAATGTTGACTCTGTCAGCACTTTAAAGGGGTGGATGGCAAATCTGACAGCTTGAACGTGTACTTTTCTAGATACAAATGTATCATTAAGATCTGAACCGTTTCCAGGATCTTAGTTTCCAGAGGCATGGCTGGACCCAAGGGCGAATCATATTGTCATAAATGTATTATTTTCTTCTTAACAGACGATTGTATACAATGTTTCTGTTTAATATAGGGTGGGGATACTATCGGTTTGCATGTTATGGTCAAGGTTGTAACTCCTTTGGGAGTGCCGGACAGATGAACAGAAGGGCCAGCCACGACGAATTTTGAAGTAATGTATGAATATCAAAGGAAATGTGTAAAAAGGAATATGTAAATACATTGAAGAAAATATATTGTTTTCAGTATCCATTCAGTTGCATCAATTGCAAGTAGAAATCTTCATATTCACACTGAATGCATCTAAAGGGATTATGGAATACAAAAAACACTACAATGACATGGCAAAAGTGATAAGCAAGAGGTTTCGAAATCTTTATTATATTTCAATGCCATCAAAAATAATGTTCAAACTATAGCCCTAGAATACGGTAGTTGATTTACATGTTCGGCATAAATTGCACAATTCCCGTCTCTGTAATATGATATGAAGTTCTCTGAGCAGTTGTATCAAAAATCAAGATTGTCCCCAGATACAGGTATCCGGCAATCTATGCTGGTCGTAGGAGGCGGCTAAATGGATTGGGTTGTCAGGCTGATTACTGGCAGCTCACAATAACGATCACTGGTCTTGATTACTTGAGACGTGAAGCAAAACACAGACTAACAAAAGCAGTTCTATAAAGAGTATACAGGGTATATGGGTTCCGACCCAAAGACACCGCATGTATGCACATCGCTTCTATTGTCAAAACAATGCCGATATGTGGAGAAGGGGGCGGTGGGGAAGCATTCACCCGTCACGCCGAAGGCCAGTGTTCAATTCTTCACATGGATATAATATGATAATATAATGGCTGGTGATATTGCTTGATTATTGCTCGCAGTGGCGTTAAAACATACTTACTGCCTACCAGTAGCGCTGGAAAGCATTTTCGAAGTAAGGGTTATAATTAGTGCCTATGTATGTGTTGTATCCGTAGTGTACACTTATCTGGTTCAATTTGGACAGTTTCGCTAACTTAATTCCTTAACAACAGTGTATTGATTAGATAGCATTTTAGAAAGACTGTTCAAAACGAACAAAGGCGTCCAATGTCAATGCGGTTTTGTGTTTCGCGTTTTAGAGGGCCCAGCTGGAGCTGTTCGTCCCAATTCAAGTATACTTGGCAGGAGAAGGATACAAATTAAGTACAGCCTGAGAAGACATCCTACTAACTGAGACATTTCACAATATGAAAGCACCTGGCAATAGCAAGATGATCAGTCAACAGCCATTGCATCTATTTAAATTCACGTAAAACTGTGTCAGTTGTCAGGCAATGTGTTACATCTACATGTATACCACTTTGCAATTGGTTAAGCACCTGTGTGGCTTACAGTACAACACTGCAATCAGATGGTGTTATTGATGACATGAGTGTAGCATTGTATCGACATTCCAACAGGCAACAAAACAAAATAAAATTATGATGAATTATGAATGTCTCATTCCTTATAGAAAGTGACGGACGATGACACAATCCTTTACACCTTAGGGTGTTTTTTATTTGCTTGAAAGCAACAGAGCCTCTGCACTTGTACAAAGCAGAGAGAGTTCAAAATTAAGATATCATACCAAACCAATAAATGTGCTATGGTACCCCTAGGATTTTCTGGTTTATTGATCACTTGAGTGTTTGGTTTGTGCACAAGCCACCAACGCATGTCAGGAGTACTGCCTGTGCGGAGCTGGGAAACAAGCATATACGTTTTTTAGTGAGTGAGTGAGTAACGTCGCGAACACCCGGTGTCATCACTGATTTTCTGCGATCCGTTCATATAATTATCACCGCTATGTTGCTCCATGGCATACATTTTCGGTAGATACCCGAGACTGATAATGTAAAACAAAATTACATTAAGGGTTACGCGACTCAAGTGGAACATCGTCAACTGTGGATCAGGAGCGGGTGCTGCCGTCAAGGTCGAAGGTTATGCAAAAGCATATCTTACTTTGCAAGGAACATAGAAGATTTAACCATCAAACTGCCCGACATTGGCTTTGTTTCTTTGTAACTGAACATGACATTGTTGATTTATATGAAACATAGTCAATAGCAAATTACCAGCCACAAAAATTATCAAGTTCGGGAGGTATTCGGGAGGTATACTTTTGATAAAATATTCACTGGTAAGATATGTTATTGATGTTCGATACAGAGAACATACTATTACTAATCTGTTGGATAAAAGTATGTTTGGTTTCAGTAGAGCTTCATTATGTGTGTTTACATATATGCAGCCTTAGAAATCGACCTAGTGTGACATCAAAGATAGACAAAATGGGATAGAGACTTTGCTGTATTTTTTATTGAGTACACTGGAAGAGTACCCAGCTGTTTCTATCATTGTACTTGGATTTGTTTGTTCATTTGTTTGTTGTTTAACACCGCACTCAACAATATTCCAGCTATATGAATAAATCCTGCTGTAAATAATCGAGTCTGGACCGGACAATCCAGTGGTCGACATCATGAGCATCGATCCACGCATTTGGGATATGATGACATGCATCAACCAAGTCTGACCGCCCGATCCCGTTAGTTGCCTCTTACGACAAGCATAGTCGCCTTTAATGGCATTGTGCATGAACAGAAGGACCGGTGTGACGCGGGACTATGTGGAGAACGATGTAATTCACCATGTTGAAAGTAATATTTACTTAGTAGAGTTTTTTTACACAATTTGAGATGGAGAGATATTAATGTGATAAATAACTTAATAGCTCTGGAAAAACTCTTTTGGAAATTTTGTGAATGGAAGAGTTGGAACTGACTATCAAATCGTCGACTGTACATTTATTGGGCATTTAGTGAGTGATTTGGGTTCAACTCCTCTTTTAACAGTATTCCAGTTATATCACGGCGTGTCAGCTTAATGTTGGAGGAAAGCCCGAAGTGATGCAGGCCTCATACGTTTACCACTTCGATGAAACCCACAAGCACGGGTATGGTGCTGACAAATCTAGCAACATAATCGGGCCCAAGGGGCAACTCTGCACAGCGAATCGCGGCGCCTTAGCCGACTGGGCCACCCGTGCCCCCTATTGGACATTTTGGGTGTAGTGTGATAGATTATTGTTTAGCATCGAGTGACATGTTCCCCGATGATGATGAATGTCTCTGTTTAAAAAACATGAACGGCGCTATTATTTAAATGCGTTCAGAAGAATCTAAAGATAACTCCTACTTTTTAAAGTATAACAAAGTTTGCAAGAATACAGATAACTGTGTGGTATAAAGAAGGACCAGTTCGCACAATGTAAAAGGAGTGACCTAGAAAATGCAGCAGCGGTAGACTAAACGTTTCTGGGACATCATAAAGCGTGTCTGGACGACCGCAACGACCAAACCCTATTGATATACAAGACTGGGTAAAATGTTACAATCCATGTACAGTAATGTAAAGACTTACAACAGAATATCTGGTATATTTGTTGCTTCATTGGTGTGAGGCAAGGGTGTATGCTTTGTCACTTTTTGTTTCAGTTCTTCTTTAATAAACGAATTGATTACTGAAATGGAACACAATTGTCGTTTTGCTGTTAAGTTACATTCGGAATGTATTTATATTTGTTTACTTCTATTTGCGGAAGACCTTATTGTGTTTGGCAATACTGTCAGCAACAATTGTAGCAATAGATTACCGAGGTCGAATGCTTAAATAATATTGCAATTCAGGCAAGAAAGGTGTTCATGGTCCTGTTAATTAGTATAAATTCCTTGAAACCATACTCGCCTCACTTTTACTTCAAATGTTTAGATGCAAAGATAACACCAATACTTATAAACGGGGCTGAAATTTAGGGTTCAGTGACATAGAACCGACTCTGGCAGATGTTCTATTCAGTCGCTCGCTGTTTTGAAATGTGTAAAATATTGGCTGTCACTTTATAATATGCAGGACTCTCGTTTACCCACAAAAATGTTATAATATGTTGGTTGTATATGGAATACTTCAAGGGACATTGTCACGTTGTCGCATTGTCGCCCTTGCAAAAAAAAACAAGCAAACAGTATCAAAACTAGCCAGATCCGGGGTAGAATAGGTCTTCAACAACCCATACTTGCCGTAAAAGCGACTATGCTTGTCGTAAACGGCGACTAACGGGATCGGGTGGTCAGGCTCGCTGACTTGGTTGATGCATGTCATCGATCCCAATTGCATGGATCGATGCTCATGATGTCAATCACTGGATTGTCTGGTCCAGACTTGATTATTTTACAGACCGCCGTTATATAGCTGGAATATTGCTGAGTGCCGCGTTTAAACAATCAAACCAACCAACCCATACTAGCCAAATGCGACAACGCGACATTTTGGCCATTTGTCGCATTGTTGCGTTGTCGCATTGTAAGATTCCGAAAGGCTTTTGTGACTTATTGCC